GAACCTGTAAAGCCTTTATTTCTATATTAAAAACATACTGCAGTAGGTGCCAATCTTGTTTGTACTTAACATTTTTCAAACCTACTTGAATAGGAAAGCTTTCCTTTTACTCCCAAATAGTCTTTAGATAAAATACTGGTTTTGTATAAAAAGTTTTCACTTGTTCTGTAAATAGCTGTAAAGTATGCAATTAACTCATTTTCTTAACCTGTTAACCGGAGAGTTCCCTTTTTAATTATGCAACCTGTAATGGGCACGTACTCTTTCACTAGGACGAGTCAGTACGTCACGCCCGGAGGACGTAATTTCATATTTTTACTATTTTTTATTTAAACTTAATTAAAATAAATGATATATACATTTTTTTCATTTATTTATATATAAAGCACAAAGGAAAATACAAAATTACAAAAAAAAAATAGAAAGAATACCAACAAAAAAATGAAAACATCGAATTAAAAAATTATAAATTTTATAAACAATTATAAAGATTACAAAAAACATATACCGTCCCTCTCAAGGCACAACATATATTTCCAGGTCGTATTCATACGTCCTGCCCATTCCCAATATTGTTTCCGTTTGATGTATTTATACGGCCCGCTCGATTAACAGGTTTTATTTATTTTTACCATTTTATTGGATTTTATTAAGTTATGCATACATTGGTTATATATTTATTTTATTTATTATACTATTTCTTATAATATTCTTAATTGGCCTTGGGAAGTTTGAATTTCTGTATCATTGATGTTTATATTTACACAAAGGTATAGGAATTCTACATTTAGTTTATCTATAAGTAAAACAATAATACTAGTAATATTGTATAAAGTAAAATCAGATTTTTACCTGTATGTCAAAAGAAGATTTTAGGTAAAGCTTCAAGAGCCTCTATTCATATTTATATATAATTATTTTTGGCTAATTATATGGAATCCTCCTTAATTTCCCTGTAGGCAAAGGAAAGACTTTGATACTGGGATAAGGTAATATTATTAAAATGTGGATTTTATAATGCAAACTTTGGTATAATAATATATAGCTCAGAAAAGTGAGCAAGATAAAATTTTAAAAAAGCACTTAAAAATCAGGACATCATTTATCATACAGTTTAAAAAAGTAAATATTTGAAAATATGCTAATTATACTACTAGATATTAAATAATTGGAGAGAGAATTAGTTTACTTGTTCAGAAATCACATATATGAATCAGATGGTGGTAATATGAATCCACTGTGCAAAAATTTAGAGATGGTTATTTGAGTTCTTCCTTCATCAAAAATGGAGTGGACATTTTCTTAGTAGCTGAAACTTCTTCCTTTTGAGAACTGTTTGCCATTAATATGTAAACACCCTAAACAAGCTAACAAAGGAAGTCAAATTCTGTACCACATCTGTGCTTACCAAGCTACTCAAGAGGGAGGGCAAGTCCGTTATTCTGGGAGAAATTAATTGGACTGAAATCCTCAGAGGAATGCAGTTTAAAAAAAAAAAAAAAAGAACTGCAGAGAAAAACTTGAACAGTATTGTGTAGTTTGTATTAATTTTGAACAATTTTAGAACTATCATCGTGTTGTCAGTAAAGTGAATAAGTAATTATGTATAATTTGTTAGGTATGAAGATTACTAAAGGATGCACAGTTATAGAATCAATTTTACTTGGGAGGTAAAAATGAAAATATGTATGTGAACTTGTGCCTTAACAAGAAAAAATAAAATGAAGTATTTATTTTGTTTTGTTCATGAAAAAGATCTAGAAACATTGTTTTATAAGGCAGGGCAGGATCCAAATTGCTGTTACTCATACAATTTCTTTCCCACTAAAAGGAACAAGGAATCATTGGGGGAAAGTCTGTTTCCATGTGTTTTGCAGAACAAACAAGGTGAGCCTGGAAGATCTTCATGTACCAGAAAGCAAAGACATTTTCAAAGATCAATGGGTGATGCCAAAAAGACATAGAAACAAGCCTAAAATATGTTGCCACCAAGTGCTGAGGCAGTTTGAGCATTGAAAGTGGCTTTGTTTGAATGAACAAACAAAATCTGAAAACCATAGCTCCAAAATCATACACAGAAAGAGAAAAATTAATATATTTTGAAGGAAGGTATAAAGAACAGTGTACCAGCAGACTTGTCATTCAATCATTTGGGTATCACTGACTCATTTATTATATGACAAATAGTAGAAAAACTGTATTAAATAGATCAGTTGAAAGTATTTGAGGATTTCAAAGGACTATTGGCATAATTACTGTATATTGTGACTTTCCAGGTAGATGAAACCAGTGTCCAAAATTTTACTGGACATGCATTTAAGAATCATGTTATACTGAATATACAAGAAATGCAAAATTCTCTCATGGGCCAATGTCTTTGAAGTTGTATTTCTGATGATCCTATCAAATGAAAGCTCTACATTCTCAAGTTGAGGTTTTATAGATCTCCTCAAATTTAAATGAGAAAAAAAAGAGTACATCTTTAATTTTAACCTCTATGTAAAATTTAACCTTCTCTTCATTTATGAATGCAGGTCACAAATCACAGCAGTACTAACAGAACCTATGACTTTGTCACGAGTGGAAATCCCAGATATTTTCATATCATATTTTAATAGTAGCAAATATCACAACATGCTGTTTACTCACATTTTTTATTGTATTAATAAAATATGTATTACTTTACCACAGATTTGACTTATATTTGATAAAAATATTTCAATAGAATTTATTTCCTCTTTAGTCCTATGTACATTATTTATTTAATACACTGAACACTATAAAGGTTCCTAGACTTCATCAGACTGCCCAATAGGTCAATGGTACCAAATAAGATTAAAGAGGTTTGAGAAGGGAAAAACCCTTTATAAAGGCTTAGAAATTTAAGTGCAAAAACTTTGAAATAGGCCTAAGAAACTGAATCCAGGGAAGTGGGCTGAGTGGACACTCTTCTCTTACAAGTTAGTGGTTTTAAAACAGGGCTAACGATATTTTGACACCCCTCCAACACAGAGCTCTGGTCTATGTCCCCTCCCTTCGAATCTGGATAGGCTTGTGACTGTTTGGACAAATAAAGAAGGAAGTGGCAATACAGAACATCAGAGGTTACAGGCAAAAAGGCAATTAATGTTCCTCCTTGTTCTTTGGGACATTTGTTCTTATAGCTGTGAGCCGCCATGTAAGTAGTATCTCTACCCTGGGGCTGCCATGCCATGAGGAAGCCCACCCCACATGGTGAGGCCTCCTGCTGGCCGCTAGGTCAGCAGTACTAATGGGGCCCAGCTGTTGTATGGCCTCAGCCCAACAGCCAGATATGTTAAAGGAGAACCTTCCAGATGATCCCAACTCCCAAGGTGTTTGTGTTACCCTGAGCCATTCACTTCCCAGCTGAGGCCCAAGACACCAGGGAGCAGAGACAAGCCGTCCCTTCTGTGTCCTGTCTGAATTCGTGGCATACAGAATATGGATCCAAGAAATAAATTGTGGCTGTTTTATGCCACTGAGTTCTGGAGTGATTTGTTAATGCAGCCACTGGGTGATGAGAATAGGGTTTGGATTGGTCAAACACGAATCTAGTTAGTTTTATGGCACAGATCTCTCTCAGTAGATAATGCCAGTTGAAAGAAAATAGAACACAAGTAGTCTGAGGGCCAATCTAATTTTCCTAAAGATCATGCCAGTTGTAGTTCAAATGGCTATAGAACTCAGATTATATGACTCAGAATAGATGGTGTCTTGATTACACAGAATCATATTGACTGCCCATTCCAACTGTCTCAAGCCTACATTTCTATCTATGTTCTTAATATTCAAAACTATTTTTTCATGGAGTGTGGGACCCAGTGCAGAACCTGATACCAACTCAAACTGCATTTGAGCCAGGAGGAATAGGCCTCTTTAAGAAATTCGAAAGAAAGAACTGCTTAGGTGCCAGATGGCCAAACCCTGTGAGACTCCCTTGGAGAAGTCCCCAGTGTCTGGGTCTCCCTTGTCATGCAGTAGGTAGTATGACTGGTCTACTCCACCAAGCAAATCACACACCACTGGGCAATGAGCCGTGAGCACATCAAAACCTCCCCCAGAGCATGGTGAACATTTACAAGGCATAGATTCTAAAAGACACCCCAGTCTTTGGTTGCACTGTGGGTTTTCAGGTCTCTCTTATCTGACACTCATTTGGAAATGAATTGTGTGAAGCAGGAGAGTGACATGGCTTTTAAAAACCTTGTTTTTCTTTTTTTATTAACTAGTAGATTTTCCATAAATTCTTTTCAATGCCTGTGATTAGAGATCTGCTATACAGAAAGTATTCTCCTAAAAATGTATTTTGGTTGTAAAAACATTTCACGTTATTGAAATCTGTACGTTACAGATTTTAACTTAAAACTATGTTGAGATAACATGTATATTATGTGTGCATATAAATGTTTTAATATTTTTTTATTTAATGATCTACCAAAAACCATGACAATACTCAATTTAGGACAAATTGGAAAATAGTTGTTTTTATTCCTTCACTGTAATATTTATAAAAATATAGGATATCATTCAAAGGTCAATTTTTTTCACATCTAAAATTCCGTTATATCTTGAGCTAATTGGCAATTTTCCTTGTGAAGAATTTATTAATGCCTTCAGAATTTTCCTGTAGATAAAAATAACCTGCAGATAACTAGTAGGATTGATTATAAATGGCTTTAAGTCCACTGAAGAATGAGTTCAGTTACACAAAAATTCCATTGGTTTGAAGATACCAGACATGGACACCTTTTAGAATACTTGGAAACTTAGCTAGAGATACATGTGAAAAAATAATATTGTTTTACAAACATCAGGACACGACTGCTTACCTCTGGAGCCTCTGGACATGACCCCAGTTCTCAGAGGGATTTCACAGGAAACAAAAGCAAATGTACTTTCACTTAGGAGGGACAGAAGCAGAGGATGGTAGAATTTGGTGAGACTGGCTCAAAAACTGTTAAAGAATTACAAAGTCCTACCTGTGAGGTAGGTGTTGTGCGAGGAATTGATGAAATAGTGAGAAAGGGGCTGAGACATATCTTCATTCAAATCCAGTTTCTCAGGTGACACGACGCCATTTTCTTCTCCACTCAGGTAGCGCATAAACCCGTCCACGGATATCTGTCCTGGAGGAAATGCAGAGGGAAGCAGAGTGTGAGTGTAGTCTTTTCATGGGTGGCTGGTATCATGTGGTTTTAATTTTCCTGCCCAGAAAGCTCGTGTCACAAAGCAACATGGGCCAGGGCAACCTCCTGTTTTTAAATATAAGAATGATTACCAACTTTATGGATGGATACAAAAGTTATTAGTGCTTATCTGTGGGTAATAAAATTAAGGGTGGATTTCTAAAATTTCCATGATAAATATATGCTACTTTTATAATAAAATGTTCATTGCAAGTGGTTTTATTATTGAAAACAAAGTAAAAATGTTTTTATAAAATGATTTTTTAAAAAGAATAAAGACAACCACAAATGAATCTCTCTTAAAGAAAAAAAAATCAAATGATAAAAAAGAGGTTTTTAAATTTCTTATCAATATTTAGAATGATTTTATTTCAAATGGAAGAAGTATGATTCACATTTTATTTGGTTTCCCTGGATTCTTTTCTTTTCTTGTAAACTTTCTGATGCTATAATGCTAAATATTGAATTAATTCTTTATTGTTATCATAAAAAAAGCATTCTAATCTTTATACAATTCATAGAGAGCACCATCTTAACTCTGATCCATCACCATTATTTGTTTCTTTGACCTTAACAATCAACGCCTCAAAAAAACCCAGCACATTTGTGGGTGGTTAAGACTTTGCCAGTAAATGTTAGAGGATAGCACTGTTTTTGTGTTAAAACAATTGTGTATTAATATAAAAGTGGTACACGTTCACTGAAAAAAATTAGGAAGTGAGAAAAGCCAGAGAGGAAAAATAAAACCTTTCTGAACAGTTCTAATTCGTCCTTCAGAGGTAACTACTGTTAAACTCTGTGTGTGTATGTCTTTCTATGTCTCTCTCTCTCTCTCTCTCTCTCTCTCTCTCTCTCTCTCTCTCTCTGTGTGTGTGTGTGTGTGTGTGTGTGTGTACTTCCAGGAGAAAAATGTTTGTGTGTATTATTTAATGAAAGCACAGCCTCTGCCCTCAAAGAGCTCATAATCTAATAGAAAATAAGACAGTTCACACCTTGAAAACAAGATGCGAGCTCTTCCAAAGCAGGGTGTGGGTTTATATCTCTCAGCCCTAGAATCTGCCACAAGGCTTTGTGCAGATAGGGGTGCCATCAGCATTTCTTTTTGATGATCAATGATTTAAAATAGAAAGTAAGTTGCTTGAAACCTAGAAGATCATGAAAAACAGCATAACTGATTCTTTTTTCCTGATTAGTTGGATCATATGAAATTGCTAGTATTTGGCATTATGCAAATGACAACTTGATACAACTTGGTCTCTACCTGCCCGTATTCCTCAGAGGATCTGCAGTAACTGCAAGTGTCCATAAGGGCTTACCTGCTACTGGAATAACTGAAAGCATTTCACTAAATCTGAAGATCTGCATATATTATTGCCTGCTGCCAGATAGCCAAGGGCAATTTCCCCAACCTGATAATCTTACTGTTTACCCAACCTTACCTTTGATATGTATATCTGCTTTGCTATAAGGAAAAGTGTGTTAATAAAAAGCTATGGGTCCAGAGATTTGAAGAACTTAGTTACTAAAGCTAAGCCTCTCTGGCTCCTCCCCCAAAATGCCTTCCTAATTTATATTTCTTCTCTAGCCTCTTTATTAATTTACTTGTAGCCACTTCTCCAGATTCCTGAACCGTACATCCTGGCACTTTTCCACTAACCTTGCACTACTTTTGCAAAACTGTTTATATATATTTTTCTGGTCCACTGAGGAGCATAGATGAATGAAAAACATTGAGATTTAAAATAGGAAAACATTGATATTCTAAAGAAATTAGTAATAGCACAAGGAATTTGTTCCTGTGAGTAGTAACTGATCAGAGACAAATTCTACAACCAGAGAATGAGTCAACTCTACAGACTCATAACTCTCTTCTAGCTTTAAAATTCAATAAGTTCAAGTGGTTTAACATAATAGGGATGATTACTAGCTCAATTAAAACAAAATGTCCTACATTAGAATGAGATTATAAAACATCAAACCACAATTAAGAGCAATGCTACAATTTTCTGGAATAAAATCAACAGTAAAGGAAGTTCAGAAGGATAAGGCCAGCTCACAAAAGCTAAAAACAAAGCCCCCTACATATTTTCTTAATAAAGATTTTGTATGCTTTCAATTGAGTGTGTCACTCATATAATAAAGCATATATATTGTTTGAATCACTTGGAACAGCGATAGTCAACCTTTTCATCTCATAGCACCCATGGGCTAATTACTAAAATTCTGTGGCACAGCAAAAAATGATATAATTTTGATTCATTCACACCAGATGGCTATTGTATTGGCTGTTGTTATCATTTTTTTAAAAAATTTGATAATATATTTAGTAGTGCTACTGACTAAATAGTCAGGTATTACATGTTTTAAAAATTCTTGTGATTAAAAACAAAACAAATAACAAATAAAATTTCTAGTGGCATACTGGTTGAAGACTGCTAACAGAGTCAAAATAGAAAAAAAAAAAAAAATAAACCCCTCAAGGAATGAAAAACAACAACTGCTATATATAGCAGTTGACCATTCAAAAGAAGTTCTGTTGTTCAACAAAAAAGTAAACTGGTGATGCAAAAGTGAAAAGATCTGACTTTAATGGGAAAAAACAATCTCCTGAGAGACATAGGAGGAAAGTGGCATGGCAAAATGATGGCCCCCAATGGCCACTGATATGACTCCTCATACTTCAGCAATATCCATGCTACAAAGAGCTCTCAAATGTCACATGGGTTTGCATAGATGTCATGGCCAACAAGTGTACCTCTATCTCCATCTGCCTGTCTCCCTCCCCTAGGGTAGATAATGACTGAGGCTCCACTGGTGGCCTCCTGAACATGTCAGGAAGACAGAAATTCAAAATTCTGCTGTGACAAAAATGATAGCACTCAGGGATGCTCTAAAGCAATGTAGTGTATCCACTGACACTCAACTGGATGTATTTCATGTTTACAAGTGCATTCAAAGGCCCTTGGATAATTTACTAGGGTACTAGCTACTCTGATATCTTATCTAAATCTAAGGTTAACCTACTGGCCTCAGGAACAACCAAGAATGAAGAGGCTTTGTGTCCAGAGAAGGGAACTTTGGAGAATAGAACAAAAGAATGGTCTAAGGAATATTGTGAACTGGTCCTCCCATCCTCTCAGGTTCTGACTCCTTTATCTACCAATGTCTAGAAACCAACTTCCAAGAGAACTTTTTAGCTTGATCATTCTGTTCTGGGCATCTGAGAATGATGTTTCAGCTCAAGTCTCTCTCGAAGAACAAAATATTGTGAATTTAACCTAGAGCGGAGGCACTCCTTTTTGGTGATTATTAATATACATATTTTTAGGGAGATACCAGAGGTGGAGAATAACCAAGGATGTGCCCAAAAGAGTCCTGATTTTCAAGAACTTAAAAAACATACCATGGAAAAATTCTTATTTTTAAAATATATTTCTATAATTTTATTTCAGAGAGAAAGGGTGATGGAGAGATAGGTAGAAGCATCAATGATGGAAATAATTGATCAGCTGCCTCCTGCATGCCCCCACTGGGGATGAGCCCTGACCAGTAATGGAACCATGACATCCTGATTCATAGGTTGACGCTCAACTACTGAGCACACAGGCCAGGCTCTCTCCTGATTCCTTACAGGAGCTCAGTGATCCAGGGAGGGAAATAGTACAGCATGATCAAAAGCTAATCTCTAGGTAGGATTCATGGGCACATTAGCCAGGCACTTTGAAGTCTGGCTCTTTTCTGCTCAGTGTGTTTTTTAATGGGAGGGTTACCTAGGGAATCATCCCATCCTGGTATCAAAGAGCCGACATGGAAGTACTCCTGAGTTAGTCCTAAAAGCAGATGTGAGGCAGCAGCAGCAGAGTGCTATGGAGGTTTAAGGAAAGACATGTGGCTGGCTGCGTTTACAGACGTGTGTGTGTGTGTGTGTGTGTGTGTGTGTGTGTGTGTGTGTGTGTGTGTTTTGTAACAGATTCTGACTTCAAAGAAAATATATGGTATAACTGAGAGCAGGATAGGACAGGAAGAAAGAGAGGGGCCAGTATTTGAAAAGCTTTGTGAATTTAATCTATTTCCAGTGTAATATTTAACAAACATTTATATATTGCTTGCTATATGCAACTATTAACTCATTTCATCTTCATAATAACTCTATGAAATGGATACTGCTTTTATGTCTATTTTATAGGTGAGAAATGGAAGGCAAGTAGCTTGCTTAATATCACACAGCTTGTAAGTGGATAGTTGGGTTTCGAGTCTACGTAGTTAAGCTTTCTGTTCCATGCCATTAACCACAACATTATGCTGCTGCAGAAGACACAACACATAATCTAGTAGTAGGAGAAGGTAAATAATCCTAGGAGGAAGAGCTACATTATTTGAGCACCAACAATGTGCCAGGCACAGAAATCCTATGAGAGATGTATCTTTAAGCTCCCATTTTCCATTGAACCACTGAGGCTTAGAAAAGTAAGCAACTTTTCTGGGCTTAGAGAGGAACTTTGTGTGAAAGCTGGACCTGGAATGCATGCCAGGGCAACAGAAGGAGATAGTGGTGAGTAGGACAGATAACGTTTCCAGCACTTGCCTGGCTGAGGGACACGGACGATGCAAAGGAAAGCGTCTTGTCTCGGTGGCAATTGGCTTCAATCAGGGCACCCTGAAGGAGTCCTAAAATAGTCCTAAATGTGACCAAAGAAGATTCCCCCCCCCCCCCGTGATTTACTTATCACACTAAAACGTGCTACTTTAATCTCTCTGTTGAAAGAAGCTGGGCTCAGGCAGGACAAATGACCCATCTGGCAGAGGCGTGAGGATTAGCTCTTTGATTAGGATTTGTCTATCACACTGTAAAATTCTTTTCCAGCCTGAGTTTACATTCTAGACTTTGCAAGTAATTTAAAGATCTCCTCTAGCATTTTTATTCTCTAACCCAGCAATCT